GATGTATACTTCGTAATTTTACTGAGGACCTTCAGGCAACTGCCTGAATAGTATCTCGAGCAGGCCACCACCGCTTCCTTCGGAATCCTTTCCGATTCATTATTCACCCAATGTCGTACCATTCGACGCTATACAGTATACATGCTGGTAGCTCCTTTTTCTTTTATTGCTAGTGGGGTGGGACTAAGTCCCTTGTACTGCGGCCACTTCTGGCCTATTGTACCAGCCCCAGATGATAAGTGAGGGTGATTGTGGAGCAATTGGTGGAATGAAGATTGGCAGGGGAAACCGAAGTACTCGGAGAAAACCTGCCCCAGCGCCACTTTGTCCACCACAAATCCCACGTGACCAGACCCGAGATCGAACCCGGGCCGTCGCGGTGGGAAGCCAGCGACTAACCGCTTGAGCTATGGCGCGGGCCTCGGCCCTTACCACTTCTTCTCCTATTACAGACCAGGCCCTTTAATTTATTCCGATTTAGAACCAATTCTGTAAAAGCTGATCCCAAGAAAATACCCTGTAGAACTCTTTAAAGGCTGAATCGACCAATCGCAAGGGTTATACACACATAAGAAATACGTTCAACCACAAAACGTGTATTAAACCTTTACATCCACGATCCAGCCACATTCGAAGCCGTGATTTCAGAGTTTCAAAGGTCCATGAGAGTAAGCGTCTTAGACAGAGGTAGTCATTGTTATTTCTCAGGGCTTAACCTTTTAATTTAGTCTTAGGAAGAGAGACTTACACTTCCAAATACTCTCTGGCAGTGCAGTTACACACAGACTGCGGTTTTCCAATCGACAACTTTGAGGAAGAATGTCATATAAACAGACTACAATAAAATTCAATTACGCAATTTTTAACAGCTGTATCGTGGTAAGTCGTTAATGGGGCTGATGAGAAATGTTACAGTATCAAAATAAACTTAACAGATTAGCGGCGACTTTCTTCAATAACCCATATAATATGTGATAAAAGCACGGGTGGCATCAGTTGGCCTGATGGTGCGATTGTCACGGTTCGCTTTATAGAATGTCTGTCCACTATGACTAAATAAACTGATATTAAAAGTCATTCTGCGACAGATGTGAACAGTCTGCTATCGATCCTTTTATTTTTAAAAAACAATTACATTTATGAGCTGTCACAGTAGCCGAGCGGAATAAGGCATGTACTTTTTTCGCTCGCTCGGAAGCCGGGATCGTGGGTTCAAATCCCACATAAGACATGGATGTTTGGTGTGTGTATATATTTATTCTGTGTTTGTGTTGTCCTGTGTTTAGGCAGAGGCCTTGCGACGAGCTGATTACCCGTCCGAGGAGTCCTACAGTCTCTAAAAATGATCATGAAACTGAAAAATCAGAGGCGAGGGCCCAAGGGGGCTGTAGAGCCAGTGGATAAAAAGTTATATTTATGAAGTGACTAGATCTTTTCAGCTGATGCCTCTCAATTTCATTCTTGTTCATGCTCTCAACTAATTCATTAGACAACGTATGTGACTGGTACAGCGCCATTAAACTACTAACATCCCACACCATTGATATAATCCCCGTAATCTGTCGATGCGCAGTACTGTGAGATGTGTTTAATACAAACGTATACGCGAAACACAATTCACTGAAGCTACCTGGCAGGCCCATATCATTGGGTGGCTTCAATAGCCACATAAATTGCAAAAGGATTTCATTAATATCTCAACGAAATGCGAGACTGATGCACTTCAAATACTGAAGTACCAACGTTATAAGTGCATATCGGTATTGGTAATCCCAGATACAAATACTGATTGAACTATCAGTATCAACGTGCTCACTGCTTCGTCTAGATAAAATTATAAATATAAACGCAATATGCTATAGAAACCGAATAATTAATAAAACGCTGCATCATTATGATAAATCAGGCTGAAATGTGCTATTGGCAATGAGTCACAGGAACGACCGTGATTTTCTTTTTTCTTTTTCTTTTTTGCTTTTTTTTCAAACTAAGTCCGTAATTGAATACAGTATAGCCTCCCGAACTAATGAAAGTAAAGGTGTGTTCTGACTGTTGACTATTTCGGATTACTGGACTTAAAAAAAAATGAATTTCTGAGTAAAATTATTCATTCAAAAGATATATAGGTACATTTTATACATGAACATCCATGGATTTGAACTGCGGACGTTCGACTACACGTCGGGCTCGGGGCCAGCTGTAACCGAGTTACATGTTTCACCACCTAGAGAGAAAAGGCCCATTAACACATAATAATGTGTTTCTTAAAGATTCAGTTTCACTGCAGGGAAGTAAAATAATTAAAACACGTCTGTAAATTTTGGAGACGTCTATTTTCTCTTTTTAGTAGTACTCCGGATTACTGGAAGTTCAGATTTACGTTGGTTTGGATTATCGCGCTTCACTGAATACGCAGATATATTTTACACAGAAACAGTAACAGAGGTATTTACCGGAATATGGTGCCCATAATACTCTCTTCTTCTCGCTTCTCAAATTTATTTGAGCTTCCTCTTCCTCTGGTAGTTATACTACCCTGAACGCAGTTACAAGCGAATTGCTTTTTCAGGTCCTGTATTGAGGTTGCGTTTGTTTCTGTTTCATCACGATGACTTGTTCACATCAAATTCAAGAACCGACTTTCTTCCTGCTAAGGTCACTTTCCTCACGTAACACCCGCCATGGAAGCACTGTTATTTCGAAACCTTGCAATGAGAAACCTAGCAAAACGGCGTGGATTTCAAGGCATTTTGAAGTACAGTCCGTCTAACTGGAAGGCCAACGTAAAGACTAGAGTATCGAGAAACCTAGCCATTTTGTTTATATTTTCGGCTTTGTTTCTTTTAGATGTAGTTTATCAGGATTAAACAATTGTGTGGGGGCTGGTTAGTTCCTGGAAAACGAGCTCCACAAATATTAAGACACAGATAACATAATTACTGTATTCACCATCACTACACTTCTTCCGCTCTAACATGTGATATATTCTTGCGTCGTTATGTGAATACTGAAGTGTTTCCTAACGTAAAGTTTGGTGTTGTGCGGAATTCAAACCCCACGGAGGTAGTAGGATAAAAACAAAATATCCTAAATAGCAAAATTCGTCTTTCATGGTCAGACAAAATATTTTAATTTTAGTGCCTCTATGGCCATATACATTCGTGGCTGAAACGAACTGAAACCCAGTTTCACTGCAGCGTAATCATTGACCTTGTCTTTAAAGGAAAGTACACGTTAAATGCTTCCCAGAACCTCCTATTACGAACAATGAATCTCTGTATGAAGCTGTTAAATGTCTTGAAGCCACCTTCTGCAATTTTACAGCCCATGCCAAACCGGTTCTGAATGCAAGAGAAGGAAGAACACAAGAGAATATCGTCAGAAAATGCAACCGGGGAAATACCGACGAATTGAGCAAATTACCAACTCGCAATGTTAGGGGCTAGTACAGTGGCGGACCAAAGTTTCTGCCACCAGTTCTCTGTACAGTCAAATTAAGATAAAACTGAAGTAACTGCTTTATTTAATGTCAATCTGCGAAGTGCAGGATAATTATTGCATGTAAAAGGTGAAGTAGTCCCTGTGTTTAACTAATTAAGCACTACGCCGTGAAGGCGTATGGGGAAGTGGATGTATAGATCCACGTATTCTTGACCTCAGAACTTGCTGGAGATGAGTGGTCAGCTTCACGGTCCGGCGGCTTTACCCCGGCAAAAGAGACCCCGACGTCCACTGGATAATAGACTGGGTGGGCCCCAGAACCGGTTTGAACGACGTGGTGAAGAACAAATTCTTACTCCTACCGGGACTTGAACTCCGACTCCTCAGCAGTTCAGCCAGTAGCCAGTCGCTACAGTATGTTACGAATAATTTATAATGGCGTCATTAAATGTGTTTCAGGGGTGAAAAATATACAAATGTGTCACAATCTCGACTGTAATGCTTAAAAATATGAACAAATGCTTCTGAAAACTGTAATACATTTCAGAATATGATGAGTATAATTCTGGAGTGTGGGTTATCAGTTCTGATCCATATCTAAGTACGGCAAATTCACAATGCGTTTAATAGGTTCCGCCACAGGAAAATTGTGAAACTGTATATTCAAATTGGCCACGACCGTTTCCACTGAAACATATACGAAAGTATAACTCAAAGCCACTCTCTTCTTTAATGCTTCAGAAAAACTGTTGGTAACCGAACAGTAGTACTTCGAAGTAACTAACATATCGTCATGAATTCGTCATTTAACCAACATTAACTGCATTTTTAAAACCTAGGAACATCCGAGACTGCGCAGATATCAGACTCCTCGAATGGGTACCACAGTACTACGTACGTATATTTATTTGAATGACGGCTTATACGTACGGCGAACTTGGAGCTCACCTAATAAACTTTTTTTCGAAAGAGAGACACATATGGGGTTAGAATACGATGTCTTCTAAACAGGTACCTTTAATAAATGTCGAGAAATTACAGAGTTTCATAAAACTGTGTCATGTAACAAGAATCACATTCTTAACTCTGCGTCACTTAATGCGCAATCCTGACATTTTGTATAATAATATATATTTCAAAATCTGAAACTCTCCTCCAAGTTATTTTAAGATGAAAAACTGCACGAGCATCTGAAGAAGTACCGGTCTCTTCCACATAACTTATACGCACTGTAGCTAGGCATATAAAATTTGGAACACTGGGAGATTATAAATACGTCTACAGATCCCTTGTGGCAGTTATGCAGTGCTAGCGAAGTGTTTACTATACCTGAATATTTGAATGCTAAATTACGATACCTGTATATTTTAAAGCTAAATTAACTTGAATTACAGGTCATTACACAACAATTATGTGTATTACTCATACACAGTTCGGGTATTGTAAATCTCATAACAACGTGCTTTTCATTTTGATACGTAAAACGCTTTGATATTCAGGACAAGCACTAATAAAACAACTGTAATAATTTTAATGAAAGTGTCGTCCTCCCGCCTTACCTTTGGTGTTTAGGGTCGTCTGCCATCGTCTGCTGACCCTGGTCACAGCTCTAGTGTTCCAATCGCACGGTGTAGAATTACTGTAGGCTCCTCGCGAGTTAGAAACCTTGAATGTATATCAACTCGCCAGTCAAGAATTTAAGTAATTGAGAGCTAAACTCAACAAACACTTCGATATACTCATTCTCTGTCAGTCAGCTGTTCGTTTAATATCAGGCATCTGCGCATGACCGTCTAGTGACGCAAAGCAGTGCTGCCAGTTGTATTTCTAAAAACACGTGTTCCAGTTGGGCCTGAACTTGTGCTATTTTCTGTTTTTCTTCTAGCCAGCGTGTTCACAGCTCGATAATAAACGAACGTAATTTGCCTCTTGTTTCACCTTTAATTATATAACTGGATGAAAAGAGGAAGAGACAGTGTGATGGGTTTACAGAGCGATGTCACATATGCAGGCCGCTGTAATAACGTTTGAACGAAATGTCAGATTTTCATGAAACTGTCATTTAATAAGACGTCACTTGCAATATGCCAGCCATTAAACTGTTTGAGCTAGATGAAACACTCACTTCGGTTACATTTCGTTTGTNCTGGGAACGTATCAGACGTCTCCTAGGTAACGAATTTTTTATACTGTGGCCATAACGGTCTATTCTATGCTATTGTTAAAAGGGTTACCATTGTTAGCATATGTTTATTGTTACGATTATTTTCATTATGGTCAATATTTATGAATATCATTTTTACTGTGGTCACTGTCGCCGCTTGTCGGCGAAGTTAATGCCAACTTTAGCGGATAGAGGGTGTCGCATGATCAGCGCAACGAATCCCCCCCCCCACGGCCGTTAATTTCAGTTTTCTAGACCGGAGCCGCTATTTCCTTGAAACAGCTCCTCAATTATCATTACGAGGCTGAGTGGACCCCGTTCCAGACCCACTATTTCTCAGAAAATCTGCTAGCGCCAGGAATCGAACCCGGACCTCTGAATCTGTAGCCAGGAACTCTGACCACTAGACCACAGAGGCGGTCCGTGAATTGATATTAAATACAGCTATGATTTCACAAACAAATATGTGATCGAAGAGTTCAGTAGTCTAGGATAAAAGCTCTATAGTCCGGTGAAAGTCAATCGACATTTCAGATGAATATGTCGCTTACATATTCAGGGCTGAAGACCAAACCAAGCAAGAAACAAGCATGAAGCGGGCAAGATGTAATTATTGACTGCTTGGTACTGGCTTTATGCTTGTTTTACCCTTCAACCCTGAAGATGGATATTATGGAAACTCAAAAAACCCACCACGCAAGTAACATGAGATGGCATTACAAAAAATCACATTCGAATTTCATCAAATAATTTAACGCTTATTTAAAAAAGAGCTCGTTTCGAATCTCAGTCCAAGTTACTGACGGGGCCAATAAATAAAATACAAATAAATAAATAAACAAATACATTGTATTTCCTCATACCTGGTGACGAAAGGTGAATGAAAAGAAGGAAGGAAGACAATATAACGTGGCAGACATGGAAATCCTTTAGTGTTATTGTTTTTGTTCTTGTTCTTGTCGTCGTCATTATTGGTGGTGGTTTCAGCAGCAGCAGCAGTAGCAGCAACAGTTAATTTAAGGACGGCTAATCAACTGCAAAGCTCAATTTTTATGACATAAGAAGAAGATTGTGTGCAATTAAATGGAAGAGGTAATTGAGGAAGAGCTGACCAATTTCACGTTAAGTAGTTATTCCTGTCGTTTCTATGAAGGAAGGAGGAAAACCACAAAATATATTTTGGAGGACAGCTGGTGTTGAAACCTGGGTTTTAACCGAGGAAGTACTGAATACACGTTAGCCACGTTACAGCTAAGCCAGTCTGCTCAAATTACAACTTGTAAGTGTCCAATTATTATTATTATTATTAGTAGTAGTAGTAGTAGTAGTAGTAGTAGTATATTACATTTTATCCTAGGTAGATCAGACTTTGAATACACGTCTCTTGTCCTTCTTCTACTCTAACTTGGATCGAAATTCTGCCCATTCATTCTGGAAACTGTCGGTCTCCGAGCTCCTGCTCGATATATCAGACTTTGCATTGTTCAATGTCTGTTCCTCATGTAAAAATTGTCCCTCTGCCAGATGCGCTTCAGCTGCTAATGTTGTATGCAGGGACCTTGATATATTTGGAGGAAAAACTGTTTCTCTTACTCACGTTTTATAACGGTTCTTTCTTATTTATTATGACATTAATTTTATTCAATGTTAATTTATGTATGTATATATATATACATACATACATATTTCTTCTCGCCTCATAGTGGTTGGTGTGTTGAACGTTTGTATTGTCTAAATTATATACAAATTGTTTTAATTTGTCATTTGTGTATGTTTTCTTTTGCTCCCCTTATTCTGCTCGTGCTGAATTTATAATTGGTCTTTGGTACATTCTGTAATCACACACACAAAGTAAGAATTGAATTAAAATTGTCATCATCATAATCGTAATCATCGTCCATTTTATTTTTGTGCATAGTTCCCGTACAAGAAACACAGTCTGAAGATCGTCGTAGCATGTTCCCCCCAAACGCTAGTACCTGTGTACCAAACTATAGGGTGTCACTTCCAAGGAGACCGTAATCTTAAGGCTGTTCTCTTTTTCGTGCCTTTAAAATCTTTTTTCTGACGTCACTATTTCGGTTTGTAATTTCGATTTAGCTGTTCCTGATTTTTATTCTTCTTTCGGTATTAATATCGATCTTAATGTATTGCTAGACCCATCTTCGCAATATTATTGTTGTTTATGTCCTAATTATATACTGTTTTATGACTTGTTATAGCAACATTACTGATCTTATATGTATAAGTATTTCCGCACTGACTCCGCTATTAGCCAGTTGAATTATGTCTTTAGTGATGCTCTAAATTAAGCTGTCCTACCTACATGTGCCAGGGGTTCCCAAGTTCGATGTTGGCTCTCTACGGCATCATATTATCAAAAAGTGACTATTTATCGTCGTACGAAAACTACGTCCGCAATCTTCATATCTTACAGTTGTTATGTCTTTTCGTAAAATGATTAAAATTGCCTTCAAGTTTTATCAGCAACAGTGCCTTCATATTCATTCCAAGCAATTTTCAAAATATGTTTGGAAGTTTAAACGACAAAATAGTAGTTTCCCGCAACTGAAAATTGATGACAAGGTTATCTCTGTACCAAAAAATGTTGCTGATTATTTACTAAGTATTTTCAATTCATCTTTAACACGTCCAAATATCGCTCCTCCCTACTCAGTTAGTTGAGGCTGTTTATCCATGGCCCACATCTCTGCCGCTTGAGTCAGCAGGGGCATAAAGCGCCATAATCATCCAAAGTCTTGATGGAATTACATTCTTAACATTTTCATTCCACTGTCAACTTATATTTAACCTCAACGTAACATTTCTTCCTTGTGTAAACAATGCTGTTGTCTCAGTATTTAAGACCGGCAATAGTACTACGTTTAAGAATTCTGTATCTATTTAATAATTAACATTTTTTAAGAATATCTTAATTTTTTCATTATCATTTTTATTACTTTATAAGTTCGGTCTTGTTCCATCTCTGCATGTTCTCCGAAGACAGTTCAATTTTCGCTAGTCTGGTAACTTACGTTAACACTGTTATGGGTTCGGTCAATGCGCAAAAATAAAATAATTCTACTTATTTAGATTTAAGAAATTATTTCTCACAATTTACCAAATTTTAATTCTTTAAAAGCACAGTCATTTTTTTATGTTAAGGTAGACCGCACACCGGCATGCGTCAAAACATGTAACAGTCAAGACACGATGTCTGCGACATGACGCAAAGAAAGGAGCACAGTTGAAACGAATGAGACTATGAAAATCGCCACACACCGGTCTGAGTCATGAGGCTGACGTCAGCTTTGTGCTGACGAATCACGAATGAAGCAGGACTTCGTCTTTTGTCTCATGTCTTGATGCTTGTCCTGACGCAGTTGGTGTGCGGCCGCCCGAAAAGTTTGCCTTACGATTCTCTCATTACCTAGACTAGTGTCGAACTGTGGGATGACTAACGAGCTACAAAGCTCAGAATTACTGGGATTTTGAACTTCTTATATAGTCCGGCATTCTAAAAATCTACAGAACACAACGTTTGGGAAACTGGATCTATTTCCGTCCTCACGTAAGGATGGGGAGACACCTACTCTGTTGGGTACCTTAGAAAGAGTTAATTTCAATCACAGGGCGACCCGTAAATACCAGAGACCAGCCTTTGTCGGAGTTAGAAGGAAAAATATGCAATAACAATCGTGATACAACATGCACAGACCTGAAACAAAGACAGAAAGGGAGAATAAAATTCTATATAAGAAACCTAACCAACAAGCCATGTCCATAAAATAATGCATATGCTTAACTATAGAATTCTGTGAAACAATTTTCTGATAAGGGGTACCCAGGTAGGAGAAATGTCAAAACTGGATTAGCTGATCGGATTGGTTAAGCATGCCACATAAGGGATGCTTTAGACCAAATCTTTCATTCAGTTGTAAGGCAAGACGGCCGCCGAATATACTGAAGGTGGGACATTTTTGTACACGGTCGTTTCTCTACCGTAATATTAAATTTTGACGTTAGTAGAAGTCATAACTTTTATTGAGGTGTTTCCTGGACCCACGCTACTTCTAAATTTAATTACCCCGTGGCGGTTATCGGCAACTGAGATGTCCTAAGCTGAACATCACTTGCTTTGTTTGTAATTGGAGAATTAAGATTTTTGTGCTCTCTTGGCTGTTTGGGGCCAGCCAAATACAATCTTAAATGAGACGCCTTTCGTTCAATTTTTTTTTGGAACTGGGGACAGGCTCTTCTTTCGGGGCTGACTGACTGGAGATTTCAATGTTTCTATTTGAGCGTTCCCGAGCATCGCTCCGATAACATTTTAATTTTCGGACTTAATTAAATGTTTAGGCCTTCAGGACAATTGGTGAAGGAAATCACTTCACAGAACTCACAATTCGGCAAGTGTAAAAAGTTCAAATATAAATATCTTCGAGAAAACAGAAAGTATATACATATATTTGCACGTTACGCGAGTTACTGTGTAAACCGTGAACGTTTGCTTTATGCAGTTACTTAGTAGTGATAATAAATACATCTTCTGATTAAAGTGATACGACACTTTCTGTTT